TTGAAATTTTTCGGTACTGAAGTAGAATTTAGTGTTCTATAACAGTTTAAAAGCATTTTCAATTAATCTCCGTGTTTTGTGACCCCTCTGTGGGGCGGTCCACGCCATCACCATGGCCGGCGCTTTAGTTCTGGTGGCCAACCGAAGGTGCACATTGACCTCTTTGGCCAGCAAACACGATCATTTTGTTTGTTTGCAAACAAACAACAAATGTTTTCTCATAGGAGAAAACCAAATTCGGCAGTTCACCACTTTCGGCCAAGCGAAGCAACTCTTTAGCTCTTTTTAGTCTATTTCCTTTCTGTTGCGGTGTAAGTTCTTGCACTTTTTGGAATTTCAATGGCTTTATCCCGAGCTCATTTTTCAATATTTGCCAAATGGAATATAGCGATATGTTCAGCTCACGAGCCATTTTTCGGCCACTGCGGCGCCGGTTTCGATCAAGTCGCTTCATTACTTTTCGAACCATTTTTGCTGATGTTGCTGTTTTCTTCCGTCCACTTCCCTGACATCGGGTTACTCTACCAGTATCACGATAACGAGCGATGGTACGAGACACAAAAGATTTATTCATATTTAAATGCTGGACTGCACTAACGATAGCCACTCGTGATTTTCCAGCCAAATATAAAGTAATCACACTATCACGCTTGAATTCATCAAGCGTGAAAAAAAATTATCACCAAAATGCTTTTGTACGATTGTAAACCATATAATGTCACTGTATGTCACTGGAAAAAGCTGTCGGACGAGTGACTTAGAAATGACAGGAGTCGGAAATTGGTTGTAGTTTTTTCATCTCACCCTGTATTGTGGGTTTTATTACTTTTGGATCTCCTCCCAAAAAGTACATGCTACTTATATCCATTATATTCCCAAGCTTATGGACGTTTTTTATATCAAAAACAAATTCCTTGTCAATACGACTCCGAAGAAACCCTATAATTGAATACTATGACAGAACACTTTGCCTTTTTTTTTGACAATCTTAACATTCATACGGTAGTTATTCTCAGAGAAGCTTAACCCCAGACAAGGTAATGAGACCATTGACATATACAACCTCAAGTAATGCTAGATTAAGTGTAAGATTTCATATTTTATATTATCTATTTCCACTTGGAAACAGTTTTTATTGCCTCTATTTTCGGTTGAGCGCCATAAAATTCGTTACATACATTATGTCTGGGCCTAACATTCTTAAGCACACATACTTATCATGGTCTTTCTTAAAAACAATCATAATTTATTTCGAGACACATTTGTCACTTCCATAAAATTCTAAACATAAAGTTTCCGGGATAAAAACGTGTACCACGCATGCTAGGTTTTTTATGTACGTTGTTCCTAGTTGGAAATTTTTGCTGGGAAAACATGCAGTAGAATGGACCATTTATTTTACCTAAACAAGTTAAAAGGGCTATGCTCCTACTTATGACCCAGGATGTGAAGTAATAAGAAAGTCGTTTTAAAAAAGACTGTGGCTCAATAAGAAAGGTTTCTCAACTTCCAAGATAATAGAAAAATGCAACTTTGTGCTGGAGTCTTATGCAAGCCACACACGATACAACTGGTTGAACAACTTGGAGAGGTTGTATTCAAGATTGCAACGTTTGTGGGCATGTCGCATACAATTTCATTTTGTGTTTATTTTTGAAGAGGCAACGCCATTGTTTCGCACATAAAAACAACACGAAATCCAATTAAATGTGTGATTTTAATGTACATATAAAATAGAATTTTAATTTATAAAATGGAATTTCAAAAATTAATAAGAAATAAGAGCTTTTGAGTCAATTATAGAACATGATTTTTTCCGGTTGGTTTTGTTATTGGAAATAAACCAAGTTGCTTAGAGCTGTCACTTTTCATTTGCTTTGGGTTTTTTAAACAAATTTTAAAGGATATTCAAAGGACTAAAAATGTGGATTTTTTAAACAATTTTTAAAGGACTAGAAACTTGGATTTTTTAAATAAATTTTAAAGGACTATAGACGTCGATTTTTGAAAGAATTTTTAAAGGACTATAGACGTGGATTTTTTAAAAAATTTTAAAGGACTATAGACGTGGATTTTTTAAACAATTTTTAAAGGACTAGAAACTTGGATTTTTTAAAGAATTTTTAAAGGACTATAAACGTGGATTTTTTTAAAGAGTTTTTAAAGGACTATAAACGTGGATTTTTTTAAAGAATCTTTAATGGACTATAAACGTGGATTTTTTTAAAGAATTTTTAAAGGACTATAAACGTGGATTTTTTTAAAAAATTTTTAAAGGACTATAAACGTGGATTTTTTTAAAGAATTTTTAAAGGACTATAAACGTGGATTTTTTTAAAGAATTTTTAAAGGACTATAAACGTGGATTTTTTAAAGAATTTTTAAAGGACTGTAAACGTGGATTTTTTTAAAGAATTTTTAAAGGATATTTAAAAAACTTTAAACGTGGATTTTTTAAAGATTTTTTAAGGGACTATAAACGTGGATTTTTTAAAGATTTTTTAAAGGATTATAAACGTGGATTTTTTAAAGATTTTTTAAAGGACTATAAACGTGGATTTTTTTAAAGAATTTTTAAAGGACTATAAACGTGGATTTTTTAAAGAATTTTTAAAGGACTATAAACGTGGATTTTTTTAAAGAATTTTTAAAGGATATTTAAAAAACTTTAAACGTGGATTTTTTAAAGATTTTTTAAAGGACTATAAACGTGGATTTTTTAAAGATTTTTTAAAGGATTATAAACGTGGATTTTTTAAGGATTTTTTAAAGAATATTTAAAGGACCACAAACGTGGTTTTTTTAAGGATTTGTTAAAGAATATTTAAAGGACCATAAACGTGGATTTTTAAAGAATTTGTAAAGGACCATAAACCAAAAATCTGCAAAGCAGCTTTATGAGTAAGTTCACAATAAAAAAATTTACTTACGCTATCTCCGGCAACTCCAGTGGGTTGCTGAAATCTCTAATCTCTCCTTTTTTTATTTACTTTACTTTTACTGATATTTCAATGACAAATAAAAAAACAACACATGTAAGCAACAACAGCTGTTTCGAACATTGGTTTTATTTAAATTCGAAATTGACAAAACCATCTTGGTTTCATGACACCAAATGAAACCAACATTGGTTTACAAAAACGACAAAAAGCAAAACCGACATGGTTTCTGTGACAGCCCTGATTATATTCTTTATTGAGAACAATGCACACACATACATAAAAAGTGTATATGTTTTGACAGAATAAGGGCACCAAAGGAAAAAAAATTGTATTAAGGCGGTAGCTTTGTTCTACCTTCTGTAATTATGGCATGGCTTAAACTTTAATAATAATAATAATAATTTAAGTCCCCGACTCCGGTGAATTGTCTTCTGTGTGTTGGATCTATTCTGATCCCAGCTCTATTCATTTTACCAATATAATATTTGGAACCATTAGGTACTTTTCGTACAAATGTGTGATGCATATCCAAACCACCGTCGAACCTCAAATCGTCTGTAATCTTAATATCAAATTTAAGGTTTTTATCTCTCTTCCTTCAACAAAGACCAAATTTAGTACCACTTAGTACTTTTCGTACAATTATAGTACACATTTACAAAACCACCACCACATCTCAATATCAGACACCAACAGAGACACCTCAATATCGAAATAAAGTCCTATTCCTTCAACCAATACCCAGTTTAGTAACATTTAGTACTTTTCGTACAATTATAGTACACATTTCCGTAACCACATCCATATGCCCAGACTACACATGAACATAAGTCTAATACCAACTGTCACATGTCAAGCACTTTCTGTTCACTAAATACCACATTGTACCAAATATAGTACTATTTAGTACTTTTCGTGTACATTTAGTACATATTTCTAAAACCACCTCTTTATCACACACCAACCACCAACGGGGACCCCAATACAAAATTTCAAAATTCCAGCTTCATCAGTTCACACTAAACCAAAATGTTCCAAGCTTAGTGCCATTTAGTACAGTTCGCACAATTAGTACACATTCCAAAAAAAAAAAAAATAAAATTTTGGCACTATCCATTCACATAATATTAAATGGTACCATTCTAGAAGTTGAACATTTTATAACTTTTCGTAACCTTAAATTTAAAAATTTCCAAAAACTCTTTGGTGCATCTATCCTGCAATCCATCATTGACTCTCATTTCAAATTTTAGAATTCTGTCTCATTCCGTTTGTCCAATGCAAAATATTCCATTTTTAGTGCTTTTCGTACGGTTTAAGTACGAATTTTCAAAGACTTATCACACGCCTACGTACCAAGACTGACATTCGTGCAAAATTCCATAATTCTAGCTTCAGCCGCTTTGTCTGTGAGTCGATTCTAGGTCGGTCAGTTATGTCACTATTCCTTAATATATATGGATTAAAGGATACCTTAATAAAGCTCTTCCTAAAGCAATTCTAATTAAAGATCAAAATATGTTTTTTTATGGAAGTCCTGAATGTGTTCTAATTTCAAAATAGAAGAAATTGTAATAGGGTACTGAAAAATCAACTGATACACGGCCATACTGTCGTTCCATGAAAGATCAAAATGTATTCATTCAGAAGACAAAAATGGGTTTACTTTAAAGACCAGAAATTTTAAATAAAATTAATGTCAAAAACATTAAAAACTTGTAGTTTGTAAAACTTGTAAACTTTAGTTTAGACTTAAGTCTTTTTATAGAGAACGTAAAGTCTTCTAATAGAATACCAAAAGGTCAAACATCCATTTACTTTTCCATGAAAAACCAAAAGATCTCATAGACGTTTGACAGAAACTTCCAAATGCCATATATTCAAAGACAAAAGAGTCTCTTCAAGAAAGACTGCACACAGGACATAAAATGTTCTCAAAAAAACAAGTTTTCTATAAAAAAAAACTCAAAAAGATCTTCTAACTGAAGATTGTTCAAAATGACAAAAGCAAAACCCAACCTGCCTAACACAACAACCCATACAATGTAGAAACAATGATGAAAGAGTAATATACTTGTTTTTATTTCGCCTATAAAAAGGTATTTATTTTGGAATTAATTACATTTAAAATTTCACGATTATGAGAAAATGGCAAAATAACACTAGTTTTGGAAAAAATATACAATTCATGCCAAACTTATCTAATACTCTATACTTGTTCTGGTGAAAATGACGTTCATTTTTGTTTTAGTGTTATTATACAAAACAAAAAGAAAAACGTAATTAAAGCACTGCACATTTATCTAAAGCCCATTACCGAACTAAAAATATTATAACGATCTTTAGAACGTAGATTTTCAAATTTGTAAGGGAAAGTAGCAATGGAACAGTTGTCGTTTTAAACTCCAGTTTTTAGACATAACCATGGAATAAAATTTCCATTTAAAATACCTTAACCAGACATTGGTAGAAATCTTTAACTTAAACATTATAATAAAATCAAATAACACAACATGAACTAATTAAGAAATTAATTAAATTCATTTTAAAGCAAAAAAAATCATAACAATTTGTTAGATGTCTGTGGTTAGTATTTGATGGCATATCACTTAGAAAGAATTGAAAATAATAAAGGGGGATGCACTTAGGGATGGTTGCACACAAGTTACGGAGTGTAGTCAGTCGTTTTGTTTTCTTTTGTTTCTGTTCTTTTGATTCAGTCGAATAACTTTAAACCGAAAATTCATTTAAAATCAAATGATGGTGTGTTACGGCAGGTATAGGGACCCATGGGCACAATAATAACTTGCAGTTCTAAATTATTACGATTTGGACCCACCAAATGTGGCGATAGATTAATGGAAGATAATGCCAATTCGTCGTAGGGTATTAGGTTGTCAATATTCACCACACGTGATTTACTTGAAAAATATTCAGTGCGTTCATGTAGCGTTAGGATATGATCAATTTTATTTTGTACACCAGTTATGAGACATGCAATCTGCAAAAAAAAAAAAAAAGAAATATTTATTAAAATAAAAAACAAGTGTTCCAAATGGAATTTGCCTACCTTAAATCGTTTCTCTTCCACCTGCAAATGTTTACATGTAACTCTTACACGTACTGTATTAATGGAAACTTCTGGAACATCCTCCCCCCAAACCATTTTGGCTTTGTTGTATTTAATACCTCGCGGAAAGAATTCCACTTCCCAGGTGAATGGTTGCTCTAGAATGTAAACAAACAAGATAATAATAATTGTTATTACACAAGTGAATATAAAGATTAAATATTTTTTTAAACAACTACATTTTACGTCAGACTTTCCTCTTTTTTGGTAAGGCCATACTTATTTTAAGCGTTTTTTTAATTTCTTAGTTATATCATACTAAAGGAGGATGAGAGAGTTGAAATCTATCCTTACGAATTTTGTTTAAATCACAACAACCCACATCTGAAAATCCCTCCAACAAGAAAAAGGGAAATGCAAAGAATACAGGGTGAGATAAAAAAACTACAACAAAGTCAACCGCCACAATTTTTAATTTTGTTGAATGAAAGCAAAAAGAAGTCAAATCAAAGAAATAGCATCAAATTTTAGAATAAGTTCAGATTTTTTCGAATTGGTCAACTTTAGCATGAATTATGGCCTTAAAACGGCCAATGAAACCATCACACGCTGCCCGAATGTTGATCTGCGGCGAAGCGCTTGCTTGAGGTGATCGACACTTTAGTATTTTTTAGTGCCAACCTTGCTTTCCAAAATACTCCAGACACAAGAGTCCAACAAATTGGTATCCGGAGTTTTTGGTGGCCATTATGCGCTGGAAATGAAGCACGGAACCTCACTTTGTAACAATTCTTGGGTGGCGCGTGCTGAGTGCGATAGTGCTGAGTCCTGTTGGAATGTCTGCGGCCAAAATATTTGCATGCCCAAGGCTTTAATACACTCTCCAGATTTGTACGTTCTTCCAAAAACCCCAATGAAGTTTTAAAAATGAAAATTTACAAGCAATTTGATCGAAAAATGGTGTCATATTATATGGGAAATATGACACATTATGGAACAATAGAAGTTTCAAACAGGACGATAAAATTTGTATAAAATCTACCTTATAGTTGAGGCACAAATGTATTCCTCATAGGGTCCAAAAATAAAAGAAAATTAGATAAAATTTCAAAGGACCAATATTGTTTTTACCTCGGAGACTACCTTTTTCGATCAGAATAATCACATTTTATTGTTATTTATATTGTTATAAAAGACAAAGATTTCGTTTGATTAAAAACCTGCTGAACTTAAGAAAACACATTTTCATTAGGAACTTTGGCCTGGAATAAACCAATTCCACTGGCCAAGGCAGACATATCAAACCCTATAGTACGACCGTTACAATAAATCTTATTATTTCTTAAAATAAATTCTCATAGAAGATTAGAAAAATATTTAAAAAAGTCGTAAATACTCTCTCTACATACCATCTTCTGTCTCCGCAATATTTCCCGGCGTGAAGAAGCATGTAACATAATTACTATACTTCTCAATCATATCGAAATTATTAACCATTTTGCTAATGCTCCAGGTATCATTCAAATACAAGCGCGGAGTAAACTGAAGACAACCATCTTGAGAATTCCGCACCTCCTGCACCCGTTCCTCTTGACCCGATTGATATGACATTCCAATGGCCATGCGTTGTACTATGTACTCTTTGTGATATTCCAACAGAGGAAATATAAGCAAATGGGCCAGCTCTCGAGGTGTCATCATGGCAAATCGTATATGTACCACTGTCTGTTCCACCAACGCAATGAAATGCTCCTGCTTTTCAGCATCTGTCAGGGAATCATCATTATCAAGCAAATCTTTACGCTGCAACAACCAATTCTGTAGTATTCCAAATAGCTTGTATTCACTGCTCACAACCAAATCATTTTGTTGCAATAAAATTGCCATGACACTAACATCCAGTTCAACAAAATCTCTGGATTCCGATACAATTTCCAAATTCCATTTTAGAAACCGTTTCAAAGCTTCCGTTAGTTCTTTATGTTGTGGACTAAAAGCAATAGTATACTGTAGCCATGATACTAGAAAACCTTGTGTAGCTGCTTTGGCAATGTGTTTCATCATATATTGTACACAAAGGTCGACCAGATCCTGAACATTGTACTTGTGGGCCAAGGCCAGCATTGGCATCACAGTACTCAATGATATATCGATTTTGCCCACATATAAATACTTGAGAAATTGTGGAAATACCGCCTCGCAGCATGGTTCTTCAACAAGTTCTATTACTCTTTTGCGGCATTCATTCCATTCGGGATTCATTAGCATCACTTGAAATACATCACTGCTGGCACAGAGTATGACACGGTGGGCGGGATATTGTTGTTCACCCACAACCAAGATAATATCCGACATTAATTGCTCGGCATACAGGTTGGCAATTTTCTTGAGAACACTATTGGAATTGTTCATAACTTGCTGCAATGAGTACATGAGAAATAAACCTTGTGAATTGTTGGACAACTGGGTACGGTGTGCCTTTCTAACTTACCACACTTATTGTAGGATCCTGATCTTGACTCTGCTCATCCACCTCCATGTTTGGTGTTATCAGACCATACTCCTGGCCCTCTTCCTTGTTATTGGATTGATTCGAATTGAAAGACATTTTTTCGATGCGTCGATTTGTGTTTTAGTCCACGGTGCAATAAATATTATTTGTTTGGTTTTCTTATTTACTGGTCATGTTGTATATCCTTGGAAATATTTCCTGGGCTCATAGTGTTTATATATCCTAAATATTCGTCGCTTTTTAATTATTTTAATGTTTCTTGTTGTAATCAGTCAACGAAGCTGAACGATTTTTAGTATTTTCGCAATCTGTGCAATCTAAATTAAAAGCGTCCCGTGCGTGTCAAAAGATAAGCACAAAAAGTTTACGAATGAGGAGAAAAAAACAAAGAAACGGCCGTAAAGATTAAGTATGATAAAATAGAGGGGGTGGTTGGGATGGAAGAGAAGTTCCAATCAGCTGGAAGATTCAGTAGATTGGAGTCACCTAACTAGTTGTTTTGAATAAAGCAAAAATGAGGCGGCTGGGTGTCGCTGTTTCACAATCGACTCGACCCCCGTTGTAATTAAAAGATTTCTATTAAAGTTTAAACAATCTTTCATTATGTGGGAACCATATGAAGAAAGGAACTATGTGTCTGTTCTGTGTATCGATACGAAAGTGAATGTTGAAGCCAAATACTATTCCAAATGTGTTTTTGAAAAAACCGAGAGCTAGTGAAAATGTACGGTGTTGCCAACATGAATGCAAATAGTAGGGTATGTTCAGTATGTAAGTTATCAACGGAGTAAATTAGGCAGTGCTTGGGATGTAGCATTGAAAAATATAGTAGATATAAAGCTCCAAACTTTAATTTTTAAGATGGAATTGGTTTCGTCTGAGGCCGTAACTTTGTCGGTCTGAATCTCTGGGAATAATGGACTCCCGCGAGATAGATTTTGTATTGTTGTAAAAATATATAAATATAAATATATATATAATACCACTAATATATTTGGAAAGGAAATCATTAAAGGTCCAATTATGGAATTTCCGCCACATTGAAAATTTTATAAAACGAAACACATTTTTTCTTTTAGGTATATTCATTTAGTTAAAAACTACGCATTTTTTATTTCATGTGATTTGAGTTATTTATCTTAATTTAATGATTGTGGCCATTTAATAATTTTACAAGAACAAAATAAAGTTAAAAAAAAACAGTTTCCAAAAAATAAAACAATTATATAAACATTCACTCACAAAATCTATAAAAATAAAACAATACACAAGAAATAATTTAACTAAATAAACAAAACATACGAATTAAAAGAAGACAAAAGTAAGATTGACAATAATGAATGATGGAAAAGAGATACAATAAATGCAAGTGTGAAACATGTTTTTGTTTTTCTTCATGATGGCATATTTTGATGTTCTTTCAATAAAATGTTGCTACATAGAAATTGATAGAAAGAAACGGTGGAATCGTTTATGGAAGGATGTTCGATATTCCAATTTACAATTCGTCGTGTCTCATAAATTTGGTGATATAGGCAACCAATTCCGACAGGGATCGGCTGTCGTCATATTCACTTTGGCGTACACCATTTTTGTAGGCAAACAAAGTGGGATAACCCTCTACTTCTTGTTCAATGCATAGCTTCTTGTTTTCGGGGGCGGTACAATCAACTTTGGCAATTTTAATGGGATTGGCAACGGAATGCATTTTTTCAGCCAATTGATCCCAAACTGGACTCAAATTTTGACAATGACCACACCAGGGAGCATAAAATTTGACGAAGGTCACACCATCAGCAACGGTATCTTGGAAGTTGTCGCCGGTCAATTGCAATACTTGCAGTTTATCAGCATCACCGGAAGGCTTTTCAGCAGCTGGAGCCTCAGTGGCTGCATCACTGCCAAGCATTTTCTTAACATACGATTGCAATTCATCCAGACTACGAGCTCCAGAATATTTTTCAATTTTCTTTCCATCTTCAATCCACAACAAAGTTGGATAGCCCTTAACTTCAAAGTCTTGGCAAATTGGACGATAAACGGTACAATCAATCTTGGCAATGCTAACATCTTGCACATTTTGTAGAGCCTTGGCCAATTCTTCCCATGTGGGAGCCAATCGTTGACAGTGACTGCACCAGGGAGCATAGAATTTAACGAAATGATTACCACTGGATACATGCTTGGCAAAGTTGTCTTCAGTCAATTCAACAAGTTTTCCCTTTTCAACAGCACCGACTTCGGCAGTCTTTTTCTCTCCTTCATTTTCCTCGCCATGAGGTATTTCATTGTCTGCGTTCAATTGCTCGTTGATAAATTCGGTAATGGCTGGCATGTCACGGGTGCCCTTGAATTTCACCGATTCAGTTTCACCCAATTTGAAGAAACGCAATGTGGGATAGCCGGTGATTTCATGTTTGGCACACAACTCTTGCTGTTGGGTACAATCAACTTTGGCAATGATAACTTGTGGTTCATCTTTAACATTCATCATTTCGGCCAACTGTTCCCACAGAGGGTGCAGACGTTTGCAATGGCCGCACCTGAAAATATAATAAAATTGACATTTAACATAAATGAACATATGACCATTTCGGTTTTGGGCTCATAAATAATTAGTTTTGAAAGCTAAAGACATTTTTATTTTGTTAATTCTATTATTTTAAATATGTTTGGTAAAAATAGAATCATCGTCGCAACATTGTGCAAGAACAAAGCGTATAAATGAATGAAATTAAATACTTGACAATTTAATGCACCAACAATAATACTCGGTGATGAGTTGCACTTACTGTTGCAAAGTCACAATTAATCCCATATCATCATGTACAAGAAGGAGGCAATAAATCAATCAATATGCAATCAATAAATATGTCAAGCATTTTGATTTGGTTCTTAATATACTATCATTTTTAGTTTTTTTTTTTAACAAATTCTTAGGAAATATAGGAATTGTTCATTTTTTTTTTTTAAATTATTTTATTTTGGAACTAATTACTAACTATATTGTAGAAATTCTTAAGCCCCAACATATTTAGATCTAATTTAAAACTTCTTCTCTAGTCACTTCTTCTTGGTCACTTATCTCGATTCGAAAGAGAAGAACAAAATTATTTTAACTATAAAAGCCTGCCTTAGCAAAAGTAAAAAACTAGTAAAAATCCAATTGAATGATACAATGAACACCCTTTAAAGAAAGGAACAATGTTATCGAACTGAAATACTTGGCCTCAAGATTCTGCCGGAATTTTTGCAGGAATATAATCGTCATTTCCAACAGAACCAAAGATTGAAATCTACGAGACCACCAAGCTACCTGAGTTACGACGAAATGAGTTTCGCAATTTTGTCTTTTCCTGGTTCTCTTAATTAGAATTTGCTTTGGTTAACATTCAAGCCATTTTTTCGGCGTGAAGGAAATAATATGGGGTGCTTTATCTAATACCTAACTTTTGAACCTAGTCTAACAAACTAAATATCACAAGACGATAAAATAATATCCCCAGCTGCTAATCTCTGACCATGTTCTTCAGATTAACAATACCCATCCAGTCATTCAGGACGTTTGCAAAAGACAAATATTTGTACTTAATTTTCACTTTATTTAAGGATCCCATCTATATTGAGGACACAGAACAATCATGGGACCTTGTGCTCGATTCAGATTAGCAAAACACCCATCAAGAACTTGGATTCCGAAAACAACCTGTATTCGAAAATAGTTCCATCATGAAATCAGTTGTTTATTCCCCATAAAAGATGTTGCCCAGTTCCCTTAAATTCTACCTCAGACAATTCATTTTTGTTAGCATGTGAGAAAATCTTAGAAAAATCCTACAACGAAATCATCTTGCGGTGGAAACACTGTGACACTTGCAATATACTCGTCCAAAGTCCAAATTGGAATCATTTTTGCAAACCATGAGAATCAAGTTATTAGATTATACAATGGAAGGAATTTTTGTTGGATGAACAACGATATGGAGATTTTATAGTCAATGAAATTCATTATCTTTTGAACATACCCACACTTCAAGAGCGAAACCAATATCAACAACACTTCTGAAGAGTTATTAATTAGCATAACCACCAAACTACACATATGGCCAATCAACATAAAAAACCAGTTAATATTGCAATACATTAATAGTGATTCATTAGTCTATGAATCGACGACACATCAAGCTTATCTTTGAAGAATTAACTCTTTCAACAATTGAAACATTTTTAAACGTTTAATATAGAACTACAAACTCCTCACGTATTGATAAGAATTAATGCTGCACATAAACATAATTTCCATTTTATGTTGTTTGTAATCAGTACTATGTGGTCCCAAAATGTGGATACTCTTATCATCATCGTCGGAAGATTTGAAATGCAAAGTGTGTAAGGATCAGACATGTCAACTTAACAAAAATCAAATGGGACTTAATGAACTAATACCCTACATTTGAAATGGATGCGATAAAGAACTTTGTACACAACAAGCGATGTAAGATTCCCTCGGCACCGCACAAGCAACAAATACGACAATAGAGATTACTTAAGCAGCGTGTACATTGTTTTCAAACTTTATTAAAATAAGAAATAATTAATTTCAACAAAATTTAGCGGTAATCAAAAATTGCGATCAAACTTCATGTTTTCACCCTTTTTGTTTCATTGACCCGCCGTCGCCGATACCACTTCAAGAAGCTTATCAAATGCAATAAGTACGTGTTCATTATAAATTAGTTGGTTGTTTGAGAGTGGGAACAAAGGAAAATTTTGCACGCAAAAACAGTTAACCATGCACAATATATTCCCAACAAACAAAGGATCTATTGTCTGTTCAAGAAATTCAAATAAATTCTAAAATTAGGTATCAACTTACCATGGTGCAAAAAATTTAACAAAATGATTATTTTTCGCAATAGCCTCATCAAAATTGTCTGCAGTCAATTCAACGGCAAAGTTTTTCTCTTCCTCTTCTGCTGTGGCAATAAAAGGCATCAATGCGAATATCGCCAATGACACGAACAGTACATTTTTCCACGCCATCATTCTTTTTGTATTTTTTTAACTAATTTTGTTTTATGTTAAGCAATTTGTTTCTTTTGCAATATGTTGCTTATTTTGGAAGATATTACACAAATTAGAAGCAGCACAAAATTTATTCCAAATTTGGTTAAGTTTCGCAGACAAATAAACGGCAGCCGACGTGTCCCAGCGAAAAAACCGGCAAATAATGTCTGAGGGCTGACAAAAATCTCAGGCGATAGTGTCGATTTCGTTTTTTTCTTTGTAAATATCGATTAATATTATTAGTTGATAAATAACATATGTGGTGTACACAATAGCAAACAAGATGACCTCAAGGTGGAGACACATATAATCGGTTCCAGAACTGGAAGAATGATATCCATTTTTCCAAAAAAAAAAAAAAAAAAAAAATATATATATATATATATATATATATATATATATATATATATATATATATATATACATATTTATTTTATGGCTTAACTCTAGTTTAGTAAAAACTCTTAGATTTTCGAAATTTTTTCAGTGGTAGGTATTTTTACCCTGATCCCGTGAAACTATTTTTTTTTTTTTTGGGGACGGACCTGGAACCCCATATTTTTGACCCGCCTGGACCCGGATCCACTTACCCGATATAGACCTTTTTATTGAAAACATAGTTTTTTTTTAAATTTTCGATAAATGCTCTCATTAATTAGGGATGGCACACAGTTAAACGTAGTTCTAAGCATGGTACAATGAATTCAAGGTAGGGCAGAACTACCATATGATTTCAATTTTTTTATTTTCTTGGCTTAATATGTCATCTTTATTTGTTTATGTATGTGTTTTCTTTTCAAAAACAAAAAATTGTTCAGAAAATATTCAAATTCGGGTGTTTTCAAAATGTTTATTTCAACGTATGCATCTACAAAATCTAGAGTTTTTGTAGCGAAATAATCCTTTAGAGATATATAGTACATGATTTTGAAAAGAAGTTTTGACCTTTCATTCAGTTATCGCGTTTTTCAATCATTTATTCAAAATAAAAGCAACAAGTTGTTTGATTTTTTTATTGTTTTGATACTAATTCTGACATTACAAGCCAAACAGGTAGACCTCTATACTTGCAATTTTTTCAAAGTTGACCTACCTTCTCTTCATTGTACCATGGTTCTAAGAGTAATTTGAATGGAACAAAGAGCATTCAATACAAGGTAGATCTAACAGGTAACCGCAGCGGCAAATTGCTACAACAAAGCAACTTTTGTGGTCCCCTCAAATTTCAAAATTGGCATCTAAGGCGAAAAACATAGATTCGCCATGACATTTAAAGGTTGCGGCAAATTTGTTTCAACCAATCAGAAACGAGGTGTTTGTTTACATTTTATTTTGTGTGCCTCTCGTCGTAAACGAACGTCGCAATAAAAGTTTTTATTGTAAAACAAATAAGAGTAAAATAAGTATTAATTGTAGTATTGCGATATTTTTTAAACCAAGAAACTTATAATGACTATATTTTACTGGTTTAAACCGAAAGTTTTCCGGAACTGCAAATGGCAAGAGTCGAATTCTTGCACTACTTCCCGTGATGTGCTTTGGGAATCTTAGATGTTGAGGCTAACTTAATTCTTAAAGCTGAACTCCATTCTAACCTCCTTCCTTCATTTTCTTATAATTTTTTTTTTTTACTTGTTTCACTCTAAACTTGCTCTTAAATTATTTGAAATATTATAAAAAAGTACTTTTAGGGAAGACTACATAAACAAATTTGTTGTTGCATTCATTTAGGGCGAATTCTTCATTACAACAATTTGTTTTGACATTTAATGGTGCCGTCAGCTGGGCTGATGCGATTACCTAGTACATCTACCTTGATTCAATATGTTTGTTCGCTCATCAAATTTTGTGTTTTGACGCCGTGGGAAAAATAGTTCCGCTTCGATGTCTGATTGTATCGTGTTTAGTGCCGGACAATGTTTTTGCACCCAATTTGAATCCATTAACTTTCCCCGGAAAATAAACAAATGACCCCAAGAATATTGTTATAGGTATGTAGAATATATTATTCTTGTCTTTGGCCGATTGTCATCGTGTCATTTTCAGAATTTATTTGATTTGCATGATCTGACGAATTTCCAAATGAAGAACGACAATTCAACTATGCTTAATGACAATACCAAAGTTTTGCCACTACAAAGGGTCGATGTTGGACAATCCGAAGTTATTGTGGGTGCCTCAAAAGCCATTGCCCGTTTGGATGATCCACGATTCAATATAAGACCGGTACAGCAAGTTGCATCAGCCTGTACCGGTGCGATGTTGACGGCATGTTTCAGTAAGTTAATGTTTGGACTACATACAGACAAACATTTGTTGACATAACTTTCCTTTTTGTTTGACTATCTCATCTCTAGTGACACCGTTGGATGTGATCAAAACCCGTCTGCAGGCCCAACAAGCCAAGATGTCTAACAAATGTTTTCTTTATTGCAATGGCTTAATGGATCATTTGTGTCCTTGTGATGCCAAAGCTTCCTTTCCTGATGTTAAACCTATTAAACCTCTAAATGGCACCATTGTAAGTTGTGTGCAGCTTTGTTATTCATTTGTAAGTAATTAAAACTACTTTTCAGGATGCATTTTTTCACATAAGCCGCACTGAGGGTATACGTTCCTTGTGGTCCGGCCTGGGTCCCACATTAATATCAGCTCTTCCATCGACAATTATTTACTTTGTAGGCTATGAACAATTTAAATCGAAATTTTTGGAATTCCATTATAAGTACCTGGCCGAAGTAAAAGGTTCTCCACGTGGACGAGACATTCCCCTTTTGGTACCCCTTTTGGCCGGCGTTACGGCACGTATTTGTGCTGTAACGTTTGTGAATCCTGTTGAGCTAATTCGCACCAAAATGCAATCTGAAAAAATGACCTACGCCCAAATGACAACAGCCATAAGAAATGTGATACATTCACAGGGCATATGGGGTCTGTGGCGTGGTCTACGTCCCACTATACTACGTGATGTACCCTTTTCTGGCATATATTGGGCATCCTATGAATCAATTAAATCGCATTATGGTGTGACTGAGCCAAAATTCACCTTCAGTTTTATAGCGGGTGCTGTCTCTGGGTCGGTAAGTAAAGTCGTGTATAGTAAATTATCGTAGTGTTGTGGATGGCCATTGCTATGCATTACATTCCTTATCTGTTCAATGTGTTTTGTTTAACAATTTTCTATTCACTACAGATAGCGGCAACAGTCACAACCCCCTTCGATGTCGTTAAGACCCATGAACAAATTGAATTTGGAGAAAAAGTTATATTTGCAGGTAAGCATTATTGTATAGTGTTATCGATCAATTACAACAGGAAACGTGCGAGCAAATTAGACATGAACGATTATTTGATACCTTATTTAATTTTATATATATTTTTCCGACAAAGGTTTATTTTTCATACAAGTAAAAGCTAAAACTTTGCCGGACTAAAACAAATTCATTCCCCAATTAATACATGCAGACAAACAAAAAGTTGTAAAGCTGAGCTTTTGCCGAACATGATATGACATAGGGTACCGAACAACGTCTTTGGTATGGGTGTATATGTTCAGACTGCCTTATCTTATAAATTTTGCTGTAATAGCATGACTTGATATTTTCAATAAAGTATGACGAAATATTTCGCATACTTTAGAATACATATGTAGGTCTTATGACTAGGGACATTTGTTAATCAATGGGAAATAGGTACTTTAAAATAATATAATTTCCTCTTTTTCAGATAAGCCTGTGAAACAATTACCCACCGCCAGCCTCATTAAACGGCTTGCCACAATATATGCAACAAATGGTGTTTCGGGTCTCTTTTCCGGCTTGGGACCACGTTTATTTAAGGTGGCTCCGGCATGCGCCATAATGATTTCTACTTTCGAATATAGTAAATCATTTTTCTATCATTACAATGTAGAAAAATACAGTGAGAAAATGAGAAACCAATAGGGAAACTCTAGAAATCCGAATCGGATTGCATGCTATTATTCTTTGTACTCATAATCAGGTACCTATGTTTTGTAAAAAAATGTTGGATGAAATTTCTTGTAATTATTTAAAATTGTGCTATTACAAAAGGTTTTCATCAATCATTTAAACACAAAAATTTTCCTTCAGCTGTGTGTAATATTTGCTATTGTTATTGTTTTTAGTTTATGATTTAAGCTAATCTATGATTATTATTTGTTAATATGTTAATATATATTTTTGCAAAAAATATGAATTAAAAATGAACCTGGCAAATGATTTGCACAAAAACTTGTATATGATGTAAATAAAGAAAATATTGTTAATTATATTTTAAAGAAGAATTGATATTCACATTAATTATATTCACATTCAAAACTAGTGTCAAAACGGAATCGCCCATGAAGCATGTAGATAGAATAGGTATATTTTAAATGCTTCTTTATACGTATGTATTTATTACAACATTTTTTAGATGTTGTAGAATTAGGAATTACCATTTTGGGAAACAACAGGGACAAATGTGAACATGGCTGTGTACTGTTGTAAAAAAGTCAGATCTTATATACAAATTGCTATTGAGTTGCAAATTTGATTAGAAATGTAAAATGCGGCATATACTCTGTTCCAGAAACTGTAAGAATCTGCTAGTTTTACACTTTTTCTCAATATCATAAAGGAAAAAATCGGTTATCTCTGTAAAAAGTTTTACATGCTTGCAGTTCTGGGATGAGAGAATAATAAGTTTATAAGGGAAGGGTTCTACAAATTAACGAACGTGTCATTAGGTTTTTATAAATGGCTTTAAATTTCCGGGAAAAATTGAAACATATGTTCCAGTAACTGCAAGAATATAATATTTTGGCATTTTTCTTCGATATCATAAAAGGAAAATCGGTTATCGTAGTAAAAACTTCTACACTCTTGCAGTTCTGGAAAAGACTAAAAGTGTCTCCCCAAGAAAAACAACAGGTTGACTCATCATGACAATAGCAGACCATCTACATGATCAGTAATTGCTTGTGTTAGCGTAGGAGCCATCTAAAATATTGATTGATCCTTCCTAAACGGGCTAGGAAGGTTGAGAGGGAGGTCCTTATGGATCAATATGATGATATTTTAATTATGAGCGAATTGATTGTGAATATCAATCAAGTTTAGACAAACACTGAAATGAAAAACAAAAATCTAAGGAAAATAGATTTTTTTCTGAAAATAAACAATCTTTTCAGCTTCGGATGTTTTCATTGTGTCCAAGGTGCTTATTACATAGTCCCAAATTGAAGTTTGGCAACACTGTATGGTTGTCGAAATCAGGCCAACGAAAACAATATGTGTGTCTGGTTACTCTAAAATTTGTAACAATTGTTACAAATTGTTACTGGAAGCCGTCTGTTAACCCGAAAGTTCTGCAAAAGAGAGCGGTTGGAGAAAGAGAAATTTTGACAGTTCTTTCAGTGAGAGTTTGCAAATTCTTGCTGGACAAATTTCTTCTTGCAATCACTTGCAACTCTTCTTCTTCTCATTCATCGACATTCAATTGTTTGTTTATTTCTTTTTGTGCTTTCAATTTGAAAATATTTTTTTGAAATTAGCAAGACTAATAGTTTTTGGAGAACAACTTTACAAAATGTGAAAAACGTAAATGTTAATATGTAATAAGAAAATAAAAGACTATTTCCAACATTTTTATTTAAAAAACTTGTAAAATTAGTATTGCTTCCTTTGTTTTAATTCTCCTTATGGGGACAAATTGGTTTGTTTTGACAAATCAGCTGATTAGTTGCAAGCTTCTGCAGGAATACCGACTGTTTACTTTTCGCATTTTCCTTGCAAAAGAGAATAAAACTACCTTACTCTCTCAGAAAGAAGTTGCTGGACAATTCCTGCTGGAAAAGTAACCAGACACACCTAATAACGTTCTACCTTCTGTACATGGCAGAAGAATACAGGTAGATGCATTAACGCTTGCGAGCATTGATATGTCAAAAAAATTTAAATGGTATTTTCAAATATAAGTAGATTTTTATATACTTTCTTATAATACGTCATTCGGAGGCTATTATAATTCGCGTTTTTCAACAATTTTTAAAATTTAAATAATGTATAACGTCATGTATATGTTTGCAATCATCATCATAATTTTTTTTATTATTAATGCTAATTTCATGTACTTTCGTACAAATTCCTATAAAAATCAACAAATATAAAATTTAAAAAAAGGGATTATGTTACTATGAATTACGAATCGTGCCGTATGAACGGGTAATTCGTATACCTAATTGTGAGAGCGAACAACGGATTGAAATTACAATGAGAACATAGCTTAAGTCGAAAAATCGACTATGAATAGTCGAGTATTCGGTTTTCACCCAAGTACGTAGTCGAGTTCGAGTCTTAGAACTTTGAGTACTAAAAGTCGATTATTCGATTAATCGGAAGTCGACTTACCTATCCCTAGTCAAAATCAGACCAACGAAAACAATAACAATAACACGTGTAGAACAACACAAAAAATAAATTAAAGGAAGGAAACGTAACGTAGTTCTTTTATCAGCATTTCCAGACAACAATTATTAAAATGACGGAGGATACTAAAGACACACAAGTTAAAGGCGAAACACCTAAGGAATCCAATACCTCTGCCTCGAAATCTGTTAAGAAGGTCAAGAAACCAGAAAATGAAGTGCCTCGCGGCCAACCAAAATCGCACAGACCATGGAAAACACCGAAAACTAAGTAAGTCCATAAAGACAGGAAAATATCTTCATTAAAAGTATTGTTTTACATTTTACAGATTCTCAACAATACAAAAGAGCAAACCTCGTTTATCTTTCGAAAAGAAAATGGAACTACGAAATGAATTGCGTGCCATAAAAGAACGTTCGCGTGAAATCAAAGAAGCCAAAAAGGAGGCAGCTTTGGAAAAGAAACAACGACGTTTGGAAAATGCCGAACGCCGGTTGGCCAATGAAAGGAAGGCCGAAATTGTGCAGGTCATTAAAAATCCAGCTAAATTAAAACGTATGAAGAAGAAACAAATGCGTCTCATCGAGAAACGTGATTTGAGCCAGGTTAAAGTGGTGTAGTGATGCGTTTTGTGGATAGATATTAGTATTTTAAGTATATTTAGCTATATAAATTTATAACTTAACTTGAAATAAAAATAACTAATGAAATGTATATTTTTGTACTGAACTAAGTATTGCAAAGGAGTATGTGAAATCAAAATATTGAATATCTCAATTGAGCCACAAAACACAAAATGGAACTTCCTCGAATTCTGGAATTTCAGCTTGAAAGGTCTCATTTATCCCGTGGGGGATTCGAGCTGCCGACTAATTCACCGATGATTTTAAAACCCTCGGAGCCAGTCAAACTTTTTAGGAATGACATCGTTAAGGGGTGTTAATGCAATATCTCTCGTCTAAAATATTACTACTAAACGCCGTACATGCGATCTGGGCCTGTTCAGAATATGAAAAGCGTCTAGCCTAGAGAGTCTACCTAATGGAAATTAAAACTGAAGATTCTGGGACTGGAAATTTAGGATCGAATATTCAAGCAGATTTGAGAATATTTTAAATGACTCCGGTAGGCCAGACATTCGTAGGTCAAGCATGGTAAGGCTTTACTAAAATGAATGCAATGGGTGATTCCTGTTTAGTGTCCCTAGCTTCTTCGCAGACTTGCTAGAAGAATTTGATGCTCCATTTTGTATTGGTCCAGACGAAGCTCAATCATTTTTTTCAAAGTCCCCTTAACGGTAACGCGCGATTTGATCTGGTACAGAACAGCATGAAGGGACAATTTTTTACTACAATTACTGGTTTTCCCTTTATGATATGTATGTATAAAAATGCCAAAAATAAATATAGATAGAATTATTTTACATTTATTTAAAAACAAGTTCTGTTAAGTCCACTTAGAATTTTCCACAACACAGTGGTCACTATTATACATTGAAATTATAAGAAAATTTGAAGCAAATTTGGAAAAAGTGCTACATTTTCAGAAATAAACAAAGTTTTTTATTTACAAAAATGTATGCTATTTATACCCTACAACACTATGTGTTGGGGTTATTATAAGTTTGACTTGATTATGTAACACCTCGATCTAGCTTTGTATGTCCGTCCGTCCGCTTGTCCATGTTAATTTGTAATCACTCTACAGGTCGCAATTGTGGCCCGATCTTCACGTAATTTAGAATGGAGGTGGGGCTAGAGCCAGAATAGAAGCATATTGCTTTTAGTGATGATCGCATAATATTTAGGGGTTGAAATGGACCAAAAACAAAAAATTTCCTGATTTTGCAGTTGCTCTGCAGGTCGCAATTATAGACTAATCGAAGCGGAAGTTAGCATGGCTAGAGCTTAGGGCTTGGCTTCTGCCTTCCAATTTTGATGGTCATCGGGTAATATTCATTGGGTGATATAAACCATTACATTTGTGTTAAATAAAATTCAAAATTGCCATTAAACCGAGAATATTTTTAATCCCGAGGAAATCACAAATAGACGAAAAGTCAATTCTGACCGTTATGTAAATGCCGATAGTAAATATATCGGATATATATAGCGAAATATATACAATGTATATATACAAAGGAAGGGGATGTTAGCTAGAATGCTGATATCCCAAGAATGGCTGGACCGATTTTGACAAATTTTGTCAATTCAGAATGCCCTATTATCATAAAAGTATTAAAACTAAAAAAAATCACATAAAAAGATACCAATAATGATGTTAATATAGATTTTGTAGTATTTTGTGACATTTTTTATTTTTTTCATATTTTTTATCGCATGAGATTTTTTCAATCTGACTTAAAATATTGAAGTGTATATTTTGTAATATTTTTCACCTACAACACAGGTTGGGGCTATTATTTACAGATTGCATTTACCGTCCGATCCTCACGAAAATTATACCAAGGGTAGGGTTAGGCTCAGAAGGGCTAGGCCTATTGTTTTCATAGATGTCCGCAATATATTTCGGGGTTGAAATGGACTAACAACTAAAAACGTTCCTGATTTTGCAGCCGTTATAAAGGTCACAAATAGAAACCAAAGGACACGAAATCTCGCATGAAGTTAGAGTTTAGGATAGCGGGTAGAATGGGCCACTACTTTTGTGTGATTACTTACAGGCGATATCCGAAATACACAAAAGGAGAACTTCTGGGTTTTTATGCTGATTCCATTGAAAAATATAGCCAAATATCTTAGACAAGCAAATCATATAGATGAGTCTAAATTTGGAGATACACAGGGACCTCTTGCTTTTGGAGGTGATCGCAAAATATTTAGGGGTTCAAATGAACCAAAAACAGAAAAGAATTCCAAATCACACAATTGAAGCCAATGGACGCGCCTGAGAAGAGAGTTAAGGACAGGGAAGAATTTTAGCATTTTGGATGACCATTGAAATATATTTAGCTGTAAAATGGACCACAAAAACTAACAGCACGAGTCCGTAAATATTGGACAAATGTCCCTGATAAAAATGCTAAGGGTAATATCTGGGTGCCCTGTGATAAAATTTCAATAGCGAAATCTATCAAAAATGTATTTGGACATAAGGGGACTTCTAACATATTGTAGTGTTGTTAGATGAATGCACATATTTCTTTTGTTCAGAGACTCACAATAAAATTCGATGTAGAATAATTCTTACTTTAACACTTTCCCTAAAAAATGAAGTATAAAGGCAGATTTGGACTTGGATTGGATACGTGTTAAATTAACAGTAAAAAAGCAGACATAATTTTCACTTTTAGTACATACACTTTTGAATATCATTCTCATAAAAACTATTTTAAGCAGATATAAAGTTTATTGTGAGATTTCTAGTGAAATTTTGTGTAGTATTTTTTTCTTTTGATATCTTCTGCCTAAATTGAAATGTTATGCTACTTTCAAGCGTCAACTCGAAAAATTCGAATGCAAATACTTTTTTGATATAACAAATGTTATTTAGAAAATTTCATCTCAATCGAGTAATAAATGCGACCTGCATTTTATTTACAATAATACATGGACAAACGGACGAACGGACATGCATAAATCGACTCAAAATGTGATTCTGTGCTGATCACAAAAAGGAACTATGGGTCTATCTCGTTTCCTTCTCCATGTTACAAACAAATGCACAACGACATAATACTCTTACCCTAGGTGTAGGGTATAAAAATTGAATTCTGTGCTATCTATGTAGTTATATTGCCTTTTGTGTTGTAATTTTTTAAATTCGAGAAGTCAAATTTCAATTTATAAATTTAAATGCGTTTTCATTGAGATATGACACTCTTTGTGTAATTGGGCTATCTTTTTCGTACTTTCTTCTCGGCTTTTCTTTATTTTTTTCAGGATAAACACAAGTAAAGTGGCCCTCTTTGTGTAATTGGGCTATCTTTTTCGTACTTTCTTCTCGGCTTTTCTTTATTTTTTCAGGATAAACTTCAAGTAAAGTGGCCCTCAAAATCCCCAAACCAAAACCATAACTAAAAAGGAATAAGAAAAATATTTAACATCGGTTTGAGTATCAAATTGTTTTTATTACATCTTTTCTTTTACAATATTTACGCAAAAAAATATTACTTTTTTAACATTCACGTTTGAAATCCGTTTTAATAAATAATTAAAAAAGAAGCTTTAGAAAGGTAATTAACCAATTTCCTCAAAAATAAAAAAAAAAATATTTATATAAAAATCTTTTTTCTTTAACCAATAAATTGGAAAATTTATTAAATGTTAAATAGAATTAAAAATAATAGATAAAAAACAAAAAATAATTTAATTTACGCTTGGTGATTTCATTTCTTTTTTTTCAACTCTTTCACAAACATCAAAAGCTCACATACAAAAATAAAATAGTGATGACGATTTGGTGGAAAGAGTAAGTTGTTGTTTTATGTATAATAAAAAGTTGCTTAGACGATTTTACACGACTCATAGGGAGGGGGTATATATTTGGAAAAATGATGGTGCAGCGTGAGAAATGGTGGTAAAATTACTGGGTATTTTTGTATCACGTTTATTTATTTGTTTGTTTTCTTGCATCGTCGTCCACCAAATTCTTGTTAGCAGCAACCATTTTACTTGTGGGTAATGGGGATCATGGTTTCACCAGCAGTAAGAGCCGGCAAAGGAGCGTCAACAGTGAGTACACCATCCTTGCTTAGAGACGAACGAATCGATTCAGGATTAACACCTTTGGGCAACAAGAATTCACGATTGTATTCCCTGTAGACGCTCTTTGTGTCGGATTTCTCTTCATGTTTGGCATGGACCTGCAAAAAGAAAGAAGAGAAGGGAAAAATTAACAACTCAAAATTTAGTTAAATCAAATAAAATGCAAATATTTTCAAATACACAGAAATGTGTTATTAACATTTTGCCTTAATAAGCTATGTAGCGTGGGAGCTCACTCAGGGTGATCATGATTGCTGCGCTGATGTTAATGATTTCAAGTGCTATTTTGTGTGTGTTTTGCTTGTTTGTCATCTAGCAATTATCAAATCAATTCATTTTCTTTTTGGCTATCACGATTTGTTTACATTGTTGTGTGGGTGGGTTGGCAAAACCAACCAAAAACGAAATCCTCTGGAAGAAAAATATTTTTGACAAGTGTTTTTTGGAATGGAAGAATTTTCTATTCTCTATTGGCTGTCAATTAAGAAAGTCGGGAGTAGCCAATTCTCAGAGGGGGGTCAAAAATCCCCATAGATAATACGAGCAGATGTAGGCATTTTAAGGCAGGCAGACTCTAAATTATGTTGTTGCATCTAGGTAGATTCTTACAGGGCCTTTTACAAGTTTTGGACATAACTTTCAAATATTTGCATTATTTTTTTTACTTAAGTTGCAAGAATCCATGCCCGTTACTTGTTACATATTTGCGATTCCAACTTATATACCTACACATAACAATTCAATGCACCCCATGAATTCATACAGAATATACAATATTTCGCCTTGACATGCTAAAGCACTTGTTTTCTTGTTCGAAAACACAAAACATCTCGAAATTTCAAGAAAAAACGGCGAAAAGAAAAACAAATTGTGAAAATGTATAATATTAGATTATCATCTCAATGTACGTATACATATATGTATACGAAAAGTTAAATGTGTTTTGTTCACGGTAGATGAACCACATGTTTTATGATTTAGAAAAAAATCTCAGGCATTCACAAATTTTCTTAAGCATCATTTTTTTTGGGAGGAAAATGAGTCATGTTTTTATTTTTGAAAAATCTAAATTATTATACCGGCAGACAGGTAATGGACAGATGTGGAATTTTTTTATTAGGTCTCAACGAGAAATCCAAAATTGTTTTATTCCAACGATTTTTTATGGGAGTTTTTTTTGCAATGAAATACTTAAATGTTCTGTACGAAGTTTATTAGCGAATGGTTAAAAAATGTTAGGAATTAAATTGTAAACCAGTGAGGAAAGGACAAAGATCGGGAGGGACGACACCCCCAGCAATATTTAGCAAAGCTACACATATGCGACGATCATTACTGATTGTGCGTTAAGGCTAGTTTAAATCTGAAATCGGATGGAACTATTGTATGAGTATAATGTTTAATATCCGTCGATTTATACTAAATTAGATGGAGAAACTTTTTAGGCTGTATGTATCCTCTCGTACTAAATATCATTTCTATAGAGTGCATATAATGACTTTCAGTTTGTTATACAATCGGTGAAAACATATATATGGGAGCTTTACTTAGCGGGAACATTTTCATATTAAAAAACAACTAAACAAGTACATAATATCCTGCAGCACAGGTTGTGTATAAAAAGACAATGCCCGTGCTAGGGTCTCTTTTGTACCCAGCCTGTTGCAATGTGTAAGCAGTGAAACCATGTCAAAATTGCCCGCATTTTAAACCCTTTCCAAAGATATAAACCGAGACTTACCAATAATTTTTGATCGACAGTCTTGACAACAATTTCTTCGGGGGCATATTGGCTGACATCGAAGCGCAATTTCAATACTTTGTTATCACCATCCTCCTGTAAAAAGATAAATCAATACGTTTATATTAGTTAACTTATATAATAATAAACATATTCTTAAATTCTAAAATGTGACCAAATGAAATCATATTGACCAATATAGTCTATATATTCAATTCAATTGTTTAATTAAACATCAACTGTAGCATATTGTGATGGAATTAAATTTTATAATCCATTGTTGCAAATAGATATTTTCAATGCTAAATTAATAAATGACAGACATATGTAGCGAGACAATGACAATATAGAAATGGATTAATAATTCTATTACTCATGAAAAACAAAATGATGTGAGACTACAGAAAATGTTTGTCGTTTGGACCAGATCAAGTCAACTTAAATTCAAACATATCGAATCTCCGTAAATAACAAATTCCTGATCAGCATAAAATTCGTTCATTGAATATTTAGGTTTAAGAATAGCCCACAACACAATGTACCCCCACCCATATATACTCCAACGTATTGGTATGTTGAAGGTTCTAATCACATTTTTTTTAATTTAATGGACTTCAATTTAGTATTTTGGGTTTGTAACCGGTACAAACCTGTTTGGCTGAAATATTCAGTTTTTTTACCGGCATTTGGCAACACTAACTCCAAATTTTAGGGACTTTGAGGACAACAGGCTAATGCTAATGCTTGTTTTAAATATTTTTGAAGTTTACCCAACTCGAAATGAAATGTTTTGGAATTAAAAATGTTCTTGAAAGGCAGCCCTGCTACAAATGGGAAGTCTTCGAGACAACTGTTGAATGTGAGTTTTTGAAGGATTATTAAAACTATTACCGTTGATTTCTAATGACATTATCAAGGTGATTTTTAGCTATGTCTTAACTTTTTTTCACATATTTTTCATTATGCTTTTTTCTTTCTTATTTTCATTTAAAAAAAAAAAAAAAAAAAAAAAAAAACAATTAATAACATACCTGAATCAATGGAGAACTGATATCGGAGATATAGTTTTGTTTAGGTCTGGCGGAGAGGGCAGAGTTTGTAGATTGGCTGTAAAAAGAAAACAGAAATGTTATTAAGATTTATTCAAAATATTTACAAAATAAAACATTAAACATAGAGTTATGTGAGAAAAAGAAAATATAAGAATAACAATAAAATGAATAATAATAAAATAAATAACACATATTTTAAAATTAAAAAAGAATAAGTAAATTTACCTAAAAGTGCGAGAATGAGTTTTAGTGTGGGTTTGGTATGAAGAACGATTAAAAGAATTCATTTTGTAAAGAATTTGTTTAAAATTATAAATTAACAACAAAAAAAGGCACACAAAATTAGAAATTATTTAATAATTTTATAAACCAAACAAAAATATTTTAACAAAATATTTAATAATTATTTGAAGTTTTAGTTACAAACGGTTCTTAACAACTGAGCATACATCCGAGAAGGTCTCCCTATTTAAACATTTTCTGAAGTTGTCGTTAAAACAAAGGACTGGCTTATAAGAAAATTTCAATTTTCCAACCCCCAAAAATTTCCACATTTTAATGTCATGTAAGTATGTATGTTTAGAAATATGCTAAAAATAGATCCCAGATTTATGTAGCATGTTTATGTTTTTCTAATAACAGCTTCTTTTAAATTCATGTTCCGTGTTTAGTTCTTGATTTTTTTTGAAACGGAAATGAAGACAATTTTAATTTAATTGAATGTGTGTTTCAGCATCTGTTATTGTTTCCTTACGCCATTAGGCGCGTGTTGAGTTATTGATGAGCAAAAGGCTGTACCCAAAGTATACGAGAATCGTGTTTAATTTAAAACATTTTCAAATCTCAAAATAATTAAAGACAAAATTCTGTGAACATCTTGACACAAATGACGTGCATGTGCGTCAGTATTTGTCATTTCGGTATTTTATGATAGACACAACAAATGGCCAGGCAGTCGATCCGACATAACTGGATTAGTTGAAATAAAGAGAAATTTCTCTAAGTTTTCAAAATAAATATTCAATATCCTCTTAAAAAATATTGAAAATATTATAATACCTGCTTTCTGTTAATATTAAAACCGGTTTAAGGGTTTTCATTATAAAATTATTGAAATTATATTAAAAATTTTCCAAAAAATTATTTAAGGTAAAAAAATATGTTAGAATTTAATATACATTAGAAAAGATTTTAAGTCCCACACGACCAAGTAAAATACTTAAGATGAATTCAACCATAACAATGCCGATTTGAATATAAAAAACATTTCATAATTTTCATTATGCCACAATTTGATATTTTGAAGAATGTATAGACGCATCTTGTCTTAAATTTAATTGTAATGATTTTATAATGGAAACCCTGAAACGTTTTTTTTTAATGATTACGAATATTTGACATTAATATGTTTGAAATTGCCATATTTTTTTTCGTTTTTCATTCTTCTTTGGAATTCCAAATGAAACAGGATTCTGGTTTTCATTTCTTTCAAATCTTTCTAAAATATATTTGTCGCTGGCCTTGTTCTGATTTGATGAGTTTATTGGTAGCCCGCCTTACTTAAATCACTTTCTAAAGATAGCTGTAACAACATTTTGCAACAATAAAAACACACAATATATTATTGTTGTTGGCGTTTCACCATGGAATGTTAATATTCATTATTTCTTTTTCATGGCGTTGAGATGAGCTGTCAAATATGACAGACATTTTGTTTGGCGACCATTCAAAAAATTATACATTTTGAAAAAACAAAAAAATCGCCAAGTGGGTGGAAGATTAACATAGAATAGAAGAGAAGACATTAACCCTCCACTTAGACCCCGCTGGACACACATTCTTTTTTCTTTTCTTCTGTCTAATACACCTTTGTGAAAATTGTGGGCTAAATTTATCGTTCATTGTTGACAGGTGTGTTTGCTTCAAAATGGAAAAAATGATGATTTTTAACAATTTTAAAATCTTGTTTTGCTAAAAAGTGGACAATAATTTTTTGAGAGGTAGATTTTTGTCATTGTATTAAAATACCTATGAAATATATTTTGGATGATTACTAATTTGAGGGGCTGCAAAATTGTGAACTAAATGTTGGAATTAACATAAAATACATTTTAATATTGAAAATAAAAATTCCCTCGTCTTTAAAATGTACATAAAACAAAATTTTTAAAAAATAAAAAGTCTTCTTAATGCATTCGAAAACTTAAAATTTTAGATTTATGAATATCTAGAAATAGACAAGTATGTAGACAATATATAATAGACAATTTTCAAGTATACAGGGAAAACTTATCTAATTAAAGGGTGATTTTTTAGCTATTATCTCTTTGACAACACGCACCATGAATCTTGTTACAATCATGAATTTTATTATCAAAAGATCCATTTTTTTTAGCGAAAAATTGTGTTCAATGCTCATTTTTTGACTCAAGGAATACGTAAATAAACAAAATTGTCGATTTTGAAGTGAAGATCGGCCAGAAGCATTGCAAAAGCTTCCATAATATCGACTAAAACAGTTACAGTTTGGTACGGTTAAGGGACTAGCATCATTGGGCCGTTCTACTTCAAGCACTTATTTGTGAATATACCATTGAGGTCCAAACATTTAATTATATGGACCGTACTATCAACTCAAATAAAGATTTCATGCAATTTTTGTGTTTGTTTGTTTAAAAAATCTCTATAGCTCTTTAAAAATCATTCTTTTTTCCAAAAGATTTTAGAGCTTTTTAATTAATTTAAAATATATTAAAATAGGAATTGAGGGTTAATCTTTTTATACCCTCCATCATACGTTTGTATCTCCTCAAAAAAAAAAAGATTTTAAACTCCACAAAGTATAGTTTTGTAGAATTCTTAGCACAATTCACTTTTTGGTATAGCCCCCACATAGTTATACTAGAAGATGAAGAGGTGTTTTGAGTGTATTAGTTACATTTTCATACAGAATTTGCTGCAAATTGACATTGATTTGTGTTCCCAGTAGGTAGAGAATATTCTTGAAGAAATCTGAACAAATAGGTCGAAGTTTTGTCACCAGAATTATTTCAAATTTGAAGTTCGCCACTGTTCAAATTACCCATCCAGGTCCACATCTTCGTATATCCCCCCATCATATAATTGTAACTTCCGATATTCGTTATTTTGCCGATTTCAGAGACATTTTCATCTCAAAATTGGTATTTAGAATTTACAATAGGAAACGTCTTCAGAAAAATGGTTATACAGGTCTACTTTTTCGTACAGGTCCCATATGACTGTAACGATATCGATATTTTAATAATTTCAGAGAGATTTTTTTGCATTTTTTATTTTTTCAAGTTCCTTTCTATTGTTGGATTGTATTAAAAATTTCGCCAGGTATGCCTTTTTACTATTTATATTAAATAGAAAAGAAAATTTTCTTTTATAGAATTTATACGAATTCCTTTAAGATTATTAGTAACACAAAAAAATAGTTTTAAAAATAAACACAAAATTTCCCAAAAAAAAATAAATAAATAAACCACTTTAAAAACATATATTCTAAATTTTTCAATTAAAAAACATAAATGATCTGTTAGGCACCTAATACAACGTAAAAATTAATTAAAAATTCACATAATGAAATTAGCCATTGAAAATTTTCTCATGCAAATACATAGTGGGTATGTATGTGTACAAAAATATAATATATGTGCATATATGTATACAAAAATTAAAATCTTTATATATTATCTGTTCTTTTGTTTTTCACATGAAGAAATACCTGGTCGTTGTAGTCTTTTTTGTTGTACTTTAGTTGTTTATTTTTTGTCGAAAGAATTTGTGTTTTATTTTTTTGAATATTGCACATAAACGCATATTATAATATATGTGTAAGCAATGTTTTGTAAGGCAGCCAAAATTATTAGATTTTTTTGTATTAAAATAATACACATAGAGCAAATAACATCCATTGTATTATTTCGATTTTTTTGACAATTTTTTTTTTTCGTTTTTCGATATATTCACAAAACAGAGGCAAGGCGTTTAGTTTTTGAGCAATTTTTAAGATGGTGGCAAGCGAGGAGAGGGCAGAGAAAAGAGGAAGAAATACAAGAATATTTATTATATTATTGTTATTATTAGATATTGTAAAGACAATTTGTATAATTTAGACTACACAGTATATAAGATACAAATATAAATTAATAGAAAAAGACACAAAATACAAAGTTTTAAATACGTATATAAATTAATATGTAGAGAAGAGACTCAAAATAACGGCTAATTTGGTTTTTAAATTAATAAATTCTCAAATTTAAATTTGATTAGGTTGAAATACATATCCGTATTAAGAATATTTTTGCTTTAAAAACATATATGTGATTTCTAAGAACCTCAAGAGGAATGTTTTATTTTTCATCAGCATAATATTTTAATTAATTAATTGTTATTACTTAAATGCCAGAATTAGTTATGGCAATAATAATGTTGAAGTGTCGATGACGAAAACCAATGCAGACATTAGCTGTGATGATAAATATTGAAAATATTTTTATTCACACACATTTATGATGTCATAAGAAACCGTCATATTTTGATATCCAAGTCTATGTCGTTCTCCTCCACCATAGTTTCATTATACTTGGTTTTCATTCTGGGTCTATAGAAATGTAAATGTTTGTGTATGACATGAGACAATATATAATCTACTAGTGGCATTTTAATGTTAGGAACAAACCTGCATATTAAATTACGGATTAAAAGCGTAATGAACTTTTATCATTTTTAATGAATTTTTGAAGATTTTTCCTAGAATGTTGAGATTTAGACCTTTGGATTTATTTTCTGTGACAAATGAAAAACACGATTCCAAATTTCGAATTTTAAATAAAAAATAAATAATAAAGAAACATTTAACGATGTTTTTCATTCGTATCGTATTTCACAAAAATATCGTCATACAGAAAAAGGTCCTTAAAGGCTTCTTAAAGGACTCAAGTATTGGTTTGGTTTAAGTATGAGCAGCTACAAGTCTCAAGTCTCTTGTTGGTCTTATTTACTACCATATCACTGACATTTTCATTTTATGTTTGGCTCTTAATTTACATATGCCGAAGCTTTCCAATTCCATACTAAAATCCCAAGCTTAAACATTTTTGTAATAGTTAGTCAAACGATATAACGGCAAATAGAATATGCATATTGTTTTCGTTTTTATTTTATTGAAAAGCATTACGCGTACTTCTATTAATAAAACTGACCTTGCCCGCCCGACACCGTCGTCCACCCTTCATTCAATCGGTGTTTGTGTAAATGAGCAAATCAAGCAAAAAAAATGTAAAACTACATAATTTATTACAACACCCTCACACAATAGTAGACTTGTTAATTATAGACATAGAATATTTAACCTTTATTGTACAAACAACAATAAATTTACATTTTAAAATTGTTACAAATTAAATAAAAACAAGTAAGCAAGGGCTACAGTCGAGCGGGGTCGACCGTTGAATACCCTACAACACTATAATAAACGATACAGTTCATATATAGGCGAGATACTCGAAAGAATTCCACAAGATATTGTGACAAATAATAAAAGAAAACCATCAGGTTTCGTTCTCTAATTTTCGAATAATAGCAACTCAAACTAATTTGCTCATTTCCAATTTATTGGTAGATGTTGCACGTAAATGGTCTTCCTAGATCTGGAACCAATATTTCCCAAAGACCTATAATCTCTCAGAAGTGGCAAAAGATTAACAGCTGTAGAAATATTACCAAATGTTTAATTCAAAATGAAAATATGCCAAAAATATGACAAAATTGAAAATATATGAGAAAATTTTACAAAATCAATATTTTTATCTTTAGAGAGATATTTTTATGCGATTTTTTTCGACGTTTTTTCTTTCCTGCCAAGAGGCCATTCTGAATTAATGAGAACAGTCGAAATCAGTTCAGCCGTTCTCGACATATAAGAGATCATTCAAGCATATCTTCTTTGATAAACATATATATCGCAAATATTTTGCTATATATCCGTTTTGTTGGATGTTAACATCAATGTAAAGATCAGAAGTAACCTTGCCATGGCTTTGTGATTTCGCCAGAATTTAAAATAATCGCGGTTTAATGAAAAATTTTGAATTTTTTCAACATAAAAGATATGGTCTATTTTACCCGCTAAATATTATCCGATGACCACCCAAATTGGTAGGCTTCTTCCCCGCGCTAAACTCTAGCTACATGCGAAATTCGATTGGTCTATAATTGCGACCTGTATAGCTACTGCAAAATCCGACATTTTTTCAGTATTTGGTCCATTTCAACCCCTAAACATTTGGCGATCATCTCCAAAAGAAATAGGCTTCTATTCTGACCCTAACCCCACCTTCGTGCAAAATTTCGTAAGGATCGGGCCATAATTGCGACCTGTAGCGTGATTACAAATTAACATGGACAGACGGACGGACATACATAGCTAGATCGACTCAGCTCGGCGAGCTAGGAAGATCCATATATACTTTCCTATATGGGAAACCAATATTTCGAGGTGTTGCATAAATTCTGGCCCAATCAAACTTATAATACCCCCAACACATAGTGTTGTAGGGTATAAAAACTACAAACACAAATATGAGGTGCCTATTTTCTAAGTTCGAAAGGAGCAAGAATATGTAGTGGGAGTGTGACCCTGTCATCTCCATAAATAAATATTTTTAAATTTTAAATATTGCATTAAAATTGTGTAAATGTGAATTGAAAAAGTATTGTATTTTCTAGACAATGGAATTTAAGCACGTCCACAAAAAAAAAATCTCAAATTTTTTAAAAAAAGTAAAGAAATATCCAAAATTCGGCAGGCCTGACCATATGATACCCTTCATCCTAATGCACATTTAGGAGAGCTATCCGTAACAAATAAAGGTTTATATTGGGAACTTATGTCAATACTAACTATGAACTTTTTTGAATTCGTATTGTAGCTTCAGAGTAGTAATAATTTGGAATCAGAGAAAACTAATATATGGGAAGTATATACAACTCTGAATCGATTTCCACCAAATTGGACGAAGGCATTTGCACCCCTCGTAATATTACTACACATAAGATTGCTATATGGAAGGATTATATTAAAAAATAGGTTTTGGGCCATAGATATATAGAATCCAAGTTTCATCAACTGGACAAATTCTGTTGAATGTCAAAAAATCCATTTAGTTTAGGCTAATATCTGATACTTTGGTGCACAATAACCGTGGAATCTGAAGATATATGGAATACATATCCAAATTTTAACTGCTTTCAATAAAATTTGGGAGATGTATTTCTGAACTGTATCTGATATCGGGTACCAAATATTATTATTGATGATTGCATATTACGAATATGAGGGTCTTAAACTCCATTTATGCTAACATCCAATATTTGGTGTACAATAAACGTAAAATCGGATAAAGATATATGGGAGCTATATCCAAATATGAACCGATCTTAACAAAATTTGAGAGAGGTATTTCTGGGCAGTATCGAATATCTGGTACCAAACTGAGGGACTGAGGGGATATATGGAAGCTACAGCTATATCTGAACCGGTAATGGGGCTCAATAATACCGACTTTTATGATGTACCTTTCTATGTATGCTATACGAAAATGTGGTCTTATAGAGACGAAAGTTCCCCTAAGAGATTGGTATTGATTAAGAGATCTAAATACCAAATTTCAAACAATTCCGTTGTAAACTGTAGCTAAAAAAAGAAAATACCAAAAATTCGGGAAATGCCTTCCTATGGGGGCTACAGAGGTTGATATCCACTATGAACTTTAAATAACAAATTTCAAACATCTCCGTTGAAAAAATATGGATAAAATTAGCAAAATACCGAATATCGGGAGGTATCGATATATGGGCGCTATTGAAAAACGTGAACCCACATACACCAATTTCTGCCTTAGAGGTTGAAGAACTTTAAATACCGAATTTCAAATAATTGTGTTGGCAAACAATGATAAAATCGGCAGGATCTTTTCTATAGTCCCGCATTTCCAATCCTATAAAAATTCGATCCCTTCGAAACATAGAGTGACGGACAACCGCATATTTTGGAATCTTCTTAGAATTTTACACTGATAAAGAATATGTATACTTTTTATTTGATTATTTCGATAAGTTACTAACGAAATGACAAACTTAATATACCCTCCATACTAGGTATGTTCGGAAAAGAAAAAGACGCATATGCTTGGACTACTATTTTATAAATATGTTTCTGTTGAAATTGTTTCATAATTTTCTGCCTATATAAAAACATTAACTTCTCATTGTCATAAGACAATAATCCAGACCCTGGTATCTTAGGTTTCTTTTATTAAAGTTTTTTCCTTAATGTTTTGTTGGTAGTTGTGAAATTCTATTTCGATGTTTCCCGATTTAATTCGAAATTTATAGTCTCATTTCCATTCGTTTCCAAAAAACACATGTTTTTCATTTGGAAAGTTTTTCCACAATTTTTTTTTTTATCTCTAGCACCTTTGATTTAATTGTATTCCCCAAAAATTAAAAATTGTTTGATCTATAAAGTTTATTGAGAAGAACCGCTGCTAATTGTTTAGAATCAAAGTCGAAATTGTTTTGTTTGTTTTTTTTTTTTTTTTGCAACTTATAAATATTGAAATTCTAATTGTATGATATCATCAACATCATTAGAATCATTTAAATAAAATCGAATCTCTATGAAATCGCAACACAGAGAAGAGATAGGAGAAATGGGGGAGATTGGAGGCTGCGAGAGAGAGAGAGAGA